TAAAACTCAAACTCTAGGGGCTGGCTCAGGGGCGGACTGACAACTCATGGGGCCCCCGGGCAATTGGTGATCATGGGGCCCCTGTGTCCTTGTCCACACGCAAAACACACCCAAAACAGCCTATAAAAAGGTACGAGGGGCATTTTATGGGGCCCCCTACTGACCCCGGGCCCTCGGGCAGTGGCCGAGTGCTCGAATGGTCAGTCCGCCCCTGGGCTTGCTCCCACTGGCTGTTATCTGTTACATAAAGTCCACACGCAAATATCCAAAGAAGAAGAAAAGTCACTCACTGTTCAAAAGCCTGTTTCATTTTATTAAGCTGTCCTTTGTATAGTGAAACATGTTAGAGTCTTAGTGCCGGTTCACACATATGCGGATTGGATGCAGTTTGAATCTGCATGACATGTGAAATAACATTGCTTCCTATGGTGCATGTTCACTTATAGCGGTGAGGATTCAGTGTGGTTTGAAAAAGAGTCGTGTGATTTCTGAGCAGTGCGTTCAGGTTTAGGTGCAGATTACAGGATATTGACTTCTATGGGAATTTCTAAACCGCATATGTGTGAACAGGATAAAATCCTGACCTAATCCTGTCCTGAACCTGATGTAAACCTGACGTGAACAGCTAAACAACTACTGTGTCAATTAGCTGTGAAATCTGAGCTTCAATCCGCACTGCACGTGTGTGAATCAGCTCTTACATACCAAATGGAACAGTCTGTATGATTTAAAGTCTAATAAATTTGGATAAAGGCTTTTAAACAGCAAGTGGCTTCCTGTCTTTTTTAGAAGTTTGTGTCAGGATACTGTCTGCAGCAGAGGCTCATGAAGACCTGCCATTCCTGCCAGTACCTTACATGGCTGTAGAAATGTTGGTGTATAATGAATGCGCACGAATGCGTGCTAGCACGCAGCCATGGATGCTCTCAGCCTGGATTGGTGACAAACAACCTTTACAAGGGAGCTAGCTGCCTTATGTGATCACTGGTTGATCTTTGGCTCTCCAGTGCGTTTGTTCCTGTAAAACCTTGCATCAGCTTGCCCCTGGATCTGTGTTCTGCCCATCTCCTGGTTTGACCCTGGCTTGCTTAATAGACTTGCTCTTGCTGCGCTCCTGTGTATGACTCTGGCTATCCTCCTGACTACACTTACTTATATCGACATCCGTTACCTGACATCTCGTTTAACAGTACTCCAGTCAAAACATCCTTGCAAGCAGTTCCTGCAGGCAACTCGTGCTTCTTTGAGCCCTCAGGGATGCCTGGAGCTTAGCCACAAGGGAAGCCCTCTCACCATTGGCCTCCAGCACCATCTACGTGATTGCTTGTGGACTTTATGACCTAAGAATATTTTTCTGCTTCCCCGGCACCCTATAGCAGAACTACTACTACAGGGCGGCAGGACTGTGCAAAATCACGTGTATATATACGTGATTTCGCATTTCCGGGTAGGGGGCACGTGCACCGCCCTACTCACACCGCCATTGGTGACTACAGCTGTCGATCACCGGGTCCCGGCCAGAGATTCCCCGCCAACACCCGGCAGTCACCGAAGAACAGTGAAAGGGGAGAGGTCTCTGTAAACAAAACACAGATCTCCCCTGTCAGCACGAACAGGCTGCTTTGTATTGCTCAGCACAGCAAAGTAAAACACACACAGTTAACCCTTTGATCACCCCAGATGTTATACACTTCCTGCCCAGTGTCATTAGTACAGTGTCAGCACTGATCACTGTATTAGTGTCATTGTGATGTCAGTGGCAGTTAGTCAGTCCCCCCCCAGTGTCAGAATGCCTGCCGCAGTCCGCTATAAGTCGCTGATCGCCACCATTACTAGTATAACATTTTTTTTTAAATTCCAGTATATATACTGCCATTTATAGATGCTATAACCTTTACGTAAACCAATTAATTTACATGTATTGGGATTTTTTTTTAGCAAAGACATCTAGCAAAATACATTTTGGCCGAAATTTATGATGAAATCTGATTTTTTAAATTCTTTTACTGGATATGTTTTATAGCAAAAAGTCAAAAATCATGTTTTTTTTTTTCAAAATTGTTGGTCTTTTTTTGTTTATAGCACAAAAAAATAAAAGATGATCTAATACCACCAAAAGAAATCTCTATTTGTGGGAAAAAAAGATCATAAATTTCATTTGGATGCAGCGCTGCATGACAGCGCAATTGTCAGTTAAAATAACGCAGCGCTGTATCACAAAACATGGCCTGGTCAGGAGGGGGGGGGGGGGGGGGGGGTAAATCCTCTGCAGGGCAAGGGGTTAAAATACATTTTTACTGATTGCAGTAGTACTGTGACGCTTTACAATGAAATTGCCTTCCTTTTACAACTTTTGTAAAGGCATTTCCGACAGTCATTAAAACAATCATTGTGATAATCATTGCTCCTTTTTTCCCATAATTTCTACATTATATAATGCATTATAGCTACGTTTAACAGACTTTTCACAATTTGTAGGATGGACCTGCTCTCTTTTGTTACACGATTTTGAGCTGTACAGTCTCCTACCTCCAAATTGCAGAGAGTTGCTTGGAACATCCTGTATTACCACTAGCTTGTTTTGAGGACCTTTTAAAAGGTAGTTTGTACATGGGGACGTTCACTGTATGGATGAACGCTGGGTGTTTTTATCAAGCAGATAGCATTATTAAAATAATGTGAGCACATAAATATTAATTTTTGAATTGAGACACTTTTTTGGGATGCACATTTTTTTTGTTTTTGTTTTATTTGGTCCTTGGATACAATGCATGTCCTGAGGAGAAAGTGGTTTTGGAGAAAATAAAACACAAACACATTTGGATGATGGTTCGCAACAAAATTTTTGTTCTACCTTTTTTCTGGTGAGAGCATAAAATATAAGTGCAGGTCTTGTTTTATATATTTTAATCTGCCCAGGGAGGCTTAGTTTTCCAGCTGCTGAGACAGTATTGGCGTTTTTTTCCTGTGCGCTAATAAAATCTTTACATTTAAAAACTTGCTGCCTGTGATCTCAATAACAGCACACTGTGCTGCTTATGAGGCGTGGAAAATAGGCAGAGGCATGATGGGACTTGTAGTACTTCAAAACCAGGAGGGCCATAGTTTGGAGACCCCTGGAAGGAATGCATAACCTGACAGGTCCCCACTATAAAAGTTAGGGAGAGTTGACAGTTCCATACAGGGGGAGATAACATATTATACTGTGCTTTTCATTTTGACTAAATCATTGTCCACTATTGCAGTAACTGACCTTTTTTTGGATAGTTTGCTTGTTAGCCCTGCATATGGCCAGAAGTGAATACATTTTAATCGAGTTTTCCAAAAAGTTTGCAAACTTGGGATGTGCTTATCCCAAGCAGTAGCAAAGAGATTGCATTGCTTATGTAGCCCAAGCCTAAATGAGCATGGAAGTGAAAATACAAGACACTCAGCAAGTAGGCGCTATCACCGTGGTGGTTTTAATTGAACAACGTTCATATTTGATTGGAGTTTACACTTAACTGATGGGTACTATAGTGTTCCATGATGCTCTCCTTAGGCTGTAATACATCACCACCTCAGATATTTCCTTTGAAGCTGAGTTTCAGGCTTAGCTTTGAAGTTTTAATCGGAGACAATGTAAGAATAAGAATCTGCAACATAAACCATATAGGATTACTGTTATAAATAACATTTCTATTACTGGACTGGGCTGGTGTTCATAGATCAACTTTATTTTCTATTCCATTAACAAAATCACAATCAGGCACATGTTTCTTAAAGGGGATCTAAACCCTAACTAACAACATTCAGTTGCTAAAGTACAGTGTATCATAAATAATGACCTTTTTTTTGTAGAAAATTGCTGTTTTTACTTTTGTTCATATTTTGGCACCTTAGTACTGTTGATCTCTTCTAGCCACTCGCAGCCTCTTCCTGTCTACATACACACACATTGGCTGAATATCATAATTGTAATAGTGACAAGGGTGGACCATGCTGCATTTGTCAGCACAGCTGCCTACTATTATTATACTGGATTTTTGCACAGCGTTTAACAGTTTTAAGGGAGAAAGTACTGTTCCAATCCAATCCAAAGTTTCCTCCAAAATTCTCTTTCTGTCCCTTCATTTGTGGAAGGATCCATCCAATCCAAATTCCATAATCTGTCAGATATATGCATAGCTACAATTCCACTCCAACACCAATCTATACAAATGTAGGATCCTGTTCAATTTCATATAATCTCATTCAAAGCCCCTTATAGTACTCACTGTGCTAGGAAATATGCACCATAAGCATTCATCTTTTAGTTTTTTCCCAACAAATTGAGTAGATCTACACTATATCACCAAAAGTATTGGGACGCCTGCCTTTACACACACCCGAACTTTAATGGCATCCCCGTATTAGTCCGTAGTGTTCAATATGAGTTGGCTCACCCTTTACAGCTATAACAGCTTCAACTCTTCTGGGAAGGCTGTCCACAAGGTTTAGGAGTGTGTCTATGGGAATGTTTGACCATTTTACCAGAAGCGCATTTGTGAGGTCAGGCACTGATGTCGAACGAGAAGGACTGGCATGCAGTCTCTTTTGTAATTCATCCCAAAGGTGTTCTATCTGGTTGAGGTCAGGAATCAGTGCAGGCCAGTCAAGTTCCTTCACCCCAAACTCACTCATCTATGTCTTTATGGACCTTGCTTTGTGCAGTAGTGGAATATTGGAACAGGAAGGGGCCATCCCCAAACTGTTCCCACAAAGTTGGGAGCATGAACATTTCCAAAATGTCTTGGCATGCTGACACCTTAAGAGTTCCCTTCACTGGAACTAAGGGGCCAAGCACAACCCCTGAAAAAAAACAACCCCACACCCATCCCCCCTTCACCAGTCTTTACACTTGGCACAATGCTGTCAGGCAAGTACCATTCTCCTGGCAACTGCCAAACCCAGACACGTCCATTGGATTGTCAGACAGAGAGGCGTGATTCGTAACTCCAGGGAACACATCTCCACTGCTCTAGAGTCCAGTGGTGGCATGCTTTACACCAGTGCACCCGACATTTTGCATTGCACTTGGAGATGTAAGGCATGGATGCAGCTGCTTGGCCATGGAAACCCATTCCATGAAGCTCTCTTTGAAGTGTTGTGCTAATCTGAAGGCCACACAAAGTCTGTAGGTCTTTAGCTATTGACTTTGCAGACAGTTGGCAACTTCTGCACACTGTGCGCTTCAGCATGCACTGACCCCACTCTGTCATTTTACGTGGCCTACCACTTCATGGCTGAGTTGCTGTTGCTCCCAGTTGCTTCCACTTTGTTATAATACCACTAACAGTTGACAGTGGAATTTTTAGTAGCAAGGAAATTTAACAGATAGACTTTTTGCACAGGTGGCAACCTATCATGGTACCATGCTTAAATTCACTGAGCTCCTGGGAGGGACCCTGTGACGGAAGGTAGACAGGGCAGGACACACAGAGTAGATGGCAAACGCACAAAGCTTTATTGAGGCAAACAGATGACAGTCACTGAATAGGGGAGTTTGCAGGGAGGGTGAATACGCCAGTACAGGGCGACAAGGAGGGACCAACACACTTAAAGTCCAACACTGAGAGCCAAGGAAGATTCTCTGTAGCAAGTAATCCAACAGGGGGGTTGGTGTGAGTCTCTGTAGCAATTGTAATCCAACAGGGGGGGGGTGTGGGGTCAGCACAGGAACAGTTCAAGTGAAGCAGGGAGAGAGCATGTACTCACGGATCTCTGATGGCTAGCAGGCAGTCTTCCCCTGCTCTCTGGGGGGGTCTTAGGCAGGCTTGGGTCTCTGCAGAGCCTGGCCACGAAGGTCCCGGCCGCAGCTCGGGCTGCTTCCGTAGCTACACAGCAGTGAGTTCCCCGGGAGCCCTGGCATCAGCCTCTTAAACTGATGTCAGACGCCCCCTAATCTCCTAGGCAACCGGGGCGGGGCGGAGCTGGCATGGCTCCAACATGTCTTAGGAATGCCTTTAATCTCTGCAGGAGGTGAGAGGGGCACGAATGAGAGACGGCAGAGAGAGCAGGGACAGAGCAAGGGGGCTGAGAGGGGGAAGCAGCTGTGACAGACCCATTCTTTCACAAATGTTTGTAGAAGAAGTCTGCATGCTTAGGTGCTTGATTGTACACACCTGTGGCAATGGAGGTGATTGGAACACCAGAATCCAATGATTTGGAGGGGTGTCCCAATACTTTTGGCAATATAGTGTATATATGTGCCTTCCAAATTGAGCATGTCCAGGACAGAAGCATCCTATAGATTAGGAATAAGGGAATAAGAAACTACAGTGCCAGTGAGCTTGATACTGGGAATTTTCATTCAGTTGTAAGGATGTATGCTGTACATGCCCAAACAAACTTTTTGGAAATGTTTGGGCAGCCGAACAAGTGTTACTGTGTGCAAATCCTCGTACTTTTAACATTGCATTATGGTGCTTGTATTGGTGATGAATGTGAATGAGTCTTCCCATCCTTAAGTTAATTTTGGTGAGTTTGCAACTGGAATAAGGGGTGTTCTCTGTTAGTCATGCTCCCTCTATCAGCTTTAATGGCAATGTATTCATTTTTTTGTGTGAATTGGGTCTCTATCATGGTGGCAGAAAAGGTTCTCTTCAATGCTGTAAATAGGCTAGAGATAGCAAACCCCGCTTGGCTTTACTCTGGGATCAGAAAGATCCAGTTCTTCCAAAAATACATGCAATTAAGAAGGAGTAATTTTAAAAAAAATATACTGGTGATCAGTGGTTCCACGCCGTGAAATTAATGTGTTTGCCTGGAATTAAGGCTTGATGATTTGAACACCTCTGTAGTTCATTAGAAGATGCAAAATTAACCATGTCTATATTTTTATGACCAATTATTAGAATAACTAAAAAAAAACCAGGATGATTGCTTTGAAATTGGGAGCTGTTAAAATTACTAAATGTATCCAATTAAAATTGTTTCAGTTCCTCCCCTATAGGAAAGCAGCTCAAGAGGACATAACATTCTGAAAACCTCTGTTTGTTCCCTTCCACTACATCATGCTGGCTGATAATACAGCAGAGAACAAAACAAGGGAAGCTCCTGCTGCATTAAAGGGGACAAACTTACATTTTATGGGTTCAGATTGCTTAGTTATTTATATCTGATTTGAGGCATGCAGAACCATATCTAATTTCAAACAGACCTTTATGCAAAGTAAATAAATACATAAAAATATTATTGATAAAATGTGATTGACTTTGTTGAAAAATAATGCTTCCTAAAGCTCTTAGAAGTAAACCTGTATTAGGAAGTAGGGAGACAAGGTCAAGATCTGTATACAGGCAAGGTCAAGATCTGTGTATACAGTAACTTTAGCTGCCTTTACCTCTGGATTATTTTGACAAGTGCATTTCTTTGAAGGTAACCTCTATAATTCTTTACGATGTGCCTAGCTTGACTTGCTCAGATTTGTTTCAGGTCCAATTTAAAGAGTAATTTTTGCATATACTTAGGATATAAGGACGAGCTTGAGTTTTCCTACATATCAATTTATGCAGCTTATCTACAAAACAAAGTAAGCAAAAGTCAGATCCAGTTAGTCTGGGATGAAAAGGCCCATTAATATTCAGTACATTTGTTATTTAACAGTTTCATAGTTCCATTCCTTAAATTCATTCCATCCCCATGAAGAAGCAATCATGGAAGGAATTTAACAAGAGGACACAGGGCAGGGAAATCCTTGCTACTGCTGCCAAGAGATTATTAACTATATCACTACAGGAGCTGTACACATCTCACCAATCAATGTGTCTTTTATGAACTATGCAGAACATTGCTGCATGTTTAAATCCACTTTAAATGTTGCTTTTGATTGTGCTATCATCTTTAGAAAACACTTTTCATTCTTTTATGCATGTTAAATGGACTATAAATGGCTTACTATAGTTAGGAAAGAGTTAATGCCATACTTTAAAGTTTTTCCCCTGCTGACAAGTACACTTTGATCAGCCATTATGATGCATGTGGCTATATTTGCACCAAGCTTTCTTGTACATATAGTAAACATATGTAAAAATGAATTACATTAATATATTTGCTTGTGGATACTATGAGCAAATCATTTTATGTTCAGTATGACCATAACCAAAATGCAAATAATGTTCCTCATTTGCTAACATGTCAGAATTAAGAACATCTGTTTCTTTACAGCAATCAGTGTTTCCTTAAATGGAAGCCTTCAATAAGGAAATATAGATCCTGTCACTGCTGATCTAGTCTTCTAAAAAATATTAGTTCCCTAGTCGTGCTAATCCAATGGCTCCAGTACTTGATAAAATAAAATGTATCTCCCCATGATCCCTGGAAGGACTGCGGTACCCCCAGAGAAAGGGGTGGGCCAACAATTCACCTCAGGGCATAAATTACTTAGGAAATAGTGGGATGTGAACAGATGGGCATCAGTTACTTTAACCACTTGCCTACTGGGCACTTTCACCCCTTTCCTGCCCAGGCCAATTTGCAGCTTTCAGTGCTGTCGCAATTTGTATGACAATTGCACGGTCATGCAACATGCAACACTGTAGCCATATGTAATTTATAATTTTTTTGAGAAAGAGCTTTGTTTTGGTGGTATTTAATCACCGCTGGGTTTTTTATTTTTTGCTAAACAAACTAAAAAAGACTGAACATTTAAAAAAAAGTGTTTTCTTAGTTTCTGTTATAAAATTTTGTATAGAATTAATTTTACTTTTTCACTGATGTGCGCTAATGAGGCTGCAGTGATGGGCTTCACTGATTGGCACTGATAGGCAGTACTGATGAGGAGGCACTGGCACTGATTGGCGGCACTGCTAGGTGTCACTGACTGGCACTGATAGGCAGCACTGACTGGCGCTGATAGGCAGCACTGAAAGGCAACTCTGATGGGCACTGATATTTGGCATTGATGTGCAGTGATAGTCACTTATATGTGGCATTGATGGGCACTGGTATGTGGCATTGATGGGCACTGACAGATGGCAATTATGGGCACTGAAAGGCAGTACTGATGGGGCTACTGATAATCAGGGCACTAATGATCAGTGCCCTGATGATCAGTGTAGATGTCCCCTCTGAGGAATGCCACTTACCGGCTCTCCTCATACACTGTCAGCTTGAGGAAAGGACTGCCGATAACTGGCATTTCATATTTACATGCAATCAGCTGTGAATGGACACAGCTGATCACATGATAGAACCTGTGTCATTGGCTCTTTACTGCGATCGGTGATCTGCTGTGTCCCAGGGACACAGCACACCACTAATCGCTGCGCCATGCACGTCCCTGGGGGAGTGCATTCACAGCTAGAGTGGAAAGACATCATATGATGTCCTCCCAGAATGAGAGAGCTGCCGCCCTCCCATAATTTCTTATATGGCAGGCGGGAGGGCAGTTAAAGTGGTAGTAAACTCTTCTTTAATAATTTTACCTACAGGTAAGCTTTGAAGGAACAGCATACCAGTGCCATTCCTTCAGAACACTGTGTCGTGGCCCATTACTTCCCACATGCATGTACGAGTGACCGTGGCTCAGCTAGCCAGCCGGCCAGAGCTCACGAACCCAGAAGGAAGACCGGGTGAAGGTGGAAGCCACGGGGAGCAGTGACAGCACTCTGCTGGAGGGCTTAATTTCAAGGTAAGTCCTTCACAATGTACTAGAATGCAATGCATACTGACACATTATGCCTTGACCTTTCAGGGGATTTATTTTTTCTTTTTTGGATGTGGTTTACTACCGTTTTACCCTCCGTTCACATCAAGCCCGACATTGAAATCGTGTAACGTACAGTGAAGTTGCACGATTTCAAAGTGGGCGGAGCCACCGATTTTAGGTGCGCTTTGCAAGATATCTGATACAGATGTCTATGCAAATCGCACCAAAAGTAGTGCACGTACTACTTTTGAAATTGGTGCGCCTCCGACCAAGTCGGAACTGCATCGATATGACCGATCGAATTGTGGACACTAGAGTGCGACTTGGCATGCAATTTGCAAGTTGCAGGGCATGCAAATCGCATGCCAAGTTGCATCCAGTGTGAACCAGGGTTAAAGGTGCAAACAAAAAGGAGTTTATTGACTCTCACTCAAAACTCCTGGGAGAGAGAGGTAGGAAGTTAGGAACACCTGTTACTGGTCTGCAGACTCAATAGACACCAGTACAGAAAAGAACCTTTAATCCTTTCGCTGCCAGAGTCGCTTTTGCATTTTTTGCACACATGTTTAAAAACTAATTTTAGGCCTGAAGATTACATGAAACCCTCAAACATTTTATATCTTCTGAAAGCAGAAAACCTAGAGAATAAAATAGTGGTGGTTCCACTTGTTTATGTCACACAATATTATTGCAAAGGTCTAGGAAACATAAAATTTCATTAAAAATCACACTAAAGTGAGTTTATGGCAAACAAGCAAAATAAATTACACAACATTTTAGTCAAATATAAAAGAGGAGGTTGTGCCAAGTAAATTGATACCCAATATGTCAAACCTTAAATTTGTGTGCGGCTATAAAATTGCACCAAACTTCAGTACCCTATATTTTCTATAGACGACGCTTCAAAAGCCCCAATAGGTCATCAGTTTAGCGTTACGGAAGAGGTCTGGTGCTAATTATTGCTCTCGCATCGGCAGGTGCGGCTATATGTAACGTATCGCAATTGGCGTTTTCACGCGTAAGTGCCCTGACGTGTGCTTTTAGGTTTGTACGTGCGTATGTGTGGGAAATATGTTTCTTTTACTTAGCTTTTTCTTTTCATCACATAGGGGGACACAAAGTCGCCTATGTGATGATTTTTTGGGTGACAGGTTCTCTTTATTGAGACATGCAAGGTCTAAAAGACTCTGCATGTCTCATCTATGATCCATTAGCTCAATTGCAATACAAACTGCATTGCAATACATCTTTCCATGGCTATTATAGTTGGGAAAGTGACAGCCATGACTCAGAAGTGACATCATGGACGTCGCTTTCCAGGTCACACACACAAAGAAGGGGAGCAGACGCACGTCTGCTCTCCTCTTTCTCCTCCTGCACACACCATCTCTGTACCCACGCCCGCAGATTGGCAAGCAGGGCCCGGATACATAGAACTCGCCCACGGGG